AAGTAGGATTGCCCAACCTTCCTTCCGAGGAGTGGCTGGTGGGTTTGAACCGCCAGCCGTCTGGTTAGCAGGCAAGTGTCTTAGCCACTATACTTCATTTACATAGTACATTAAAATTTAATATATAAAACATCTATAATTATTTAAATCAACTAAATGATATTATTTGATAATATAAAATATAGCTGAAATCTTGTAATAAAAAAATGAGAATGTTGATTTTTAAGTATTTATGTACACACACATATGCATGGCTGTGAGCATGAATACACATACACAGCCTCAAAAGAAAACAGAGAATTAATATTTCTCTTAGGTTGGTAGGATTAAAGGCATTTTAACAACAGTATACATACCTTATTACCTTTATATACATATAGACACTGATACACATTATATATTTTACATATCCATATATATATTAATAACATACTATGGTTTTTGGTATTTTCTTCAGTACACTTACATCATTTTACTAATGAGGACAAAGCATAACAAGAAAACATATATCCTAAGAAAACAATTCTCTTGGAAAAATAATTTGCCATTAGGTACCTATCAAGTTCACCCAGCAATTCTTCTTGTCTCTCTAGTTCTTCAAGGCGAGCCCACAGTTCCTGATCAGCAAGCAAATCCTTGTATTTTACATCATTTGCAAAATCTGCTTCAAAAATATCTGAAGTTTTTGGTTTGGAGTGAGGTTTATGAGCAATTCGGTGTTTTACTATTAAAAAAGAAAAAGACAGACATGTCTGCTAACACTAACTTTAAAGAAAGGCACACACCTAGAATTAATGAGACTTTTCTTTAAAAAAAAAAAAAAAGCGCTGGTGGGGGGCGGGGTTAAGGTAGAGGAGGCATAATTTTTAAGGCAAAGAGGAGAACTCCAGAATACAGCCTTGTTTCTCAAAGAACGGTCTATGGACCAACAACACTGGCATCCCTTAGAGCATCTGAATAATACAGACTCTCAGGCCTCCCCCAGACCTGCTGGATCAGAATCTGTATTTTAACAAGAGCCCTAGAGGATTCACAAGCACATTAAAGATTGTGAAGCACTGCTCTAGAGCTTCAAACATGCCTAAGAGAAATAGTCACAATGTACCCTGGTTTTAAAGCAAAATTCAACACAAGCTAATACCCATTTTCCATCCTTGCTCAAGGGATTGCAGTTACTAAAGTAACAAGCAAAAGCCTTGTCATAGGTTACTTTCAACTCTAAGGCAGTTCTAGGCATGAATACCTTAGGAGAAAATTATAAAGATGCCAATCCCTGGAAAGTTCTACTACAATTTTGTCTGTGAATATTTCTACTTCTTAAATTGCTTTGTTTTATTTATAATCCTCATGAAAGGGAAGGAGAGAGTTCAATTCTCAAATCAAATCTCTCTGCTTTTCATTTTAAAAAACATATTTATATACATACATATATATATATATACATACATACATTATACACACACACACACATATATATACATATATATTTATATATATAAAGCAAAGGAAAGTTTTGAAGAAAGCAATGGGGAAGTCTAAAATGCTGCCTGTTACAAAATGTGACTTCAAGCGCATCACAATTTTTAAATTTACAGCACAGTTTTCTAAATTTGATAACATTAAAATGTTTCATTGCCTTATTCTCTGTAATTATTATTGATAAAACTGTACTAAACAAGTTGTTATGTTTTAAGCTTATAGCATATATAAATCTCTCATTGGTCACCACACACACAAAAAACTCTAACTTGTCTTTCTGCTCTTTGTTTTTAATGTTGCCTCCTTTATTTTACCTTTTAAAGGGGAAGTTTTGTTACTTGTGATGCTACTTCATTATAGATATTATGGCTAGAATATGGCCTCTAAAAGTATCATTTTCAACCAATAAAGTTCTCTTTTAGAGCTAATTACCAAAATGTGAACTTCAAAATATAAATGTTAAGAAGAAACAGTTTTCTACAGTAGCACTTTTTTTTTTTTAAATTTCACTACTTTAACATTTTATAACAGGGGAACCATTACCTTTAGAGACATAAACACATACCACATCTTTGGCAAGAGAAATCTATTGGATGAACCTGGAAAGAACCTGTGTAGAGAAAGCTACTATAGGTACCATAAAAGAAATGGCTAAAATATACTTCAATTATATTCATTCTTTCTTCCAAAAACACCATCTAAAGCTGCAGTTTTAAAAGGAGCAAAAACTGTATTTCTTGACCAAGGTCAAAGATTAAATTAGAAGATCCATGTCTGGAATATACATCTTCTGAGTCTTAGAGATTGGATCACTAGAGAGCTTTGAAATTCCACCACTTAAAAAGAGATCAGTCCAGAATCAACTCTCCATCGAAACGTTATTCATCTACTAATTTTTTGTAAGTCTACCCAAAGAAAAAATGTTTACCTTGTATGAATTTTTTTTAAAAGTATCACATTATAAATTCCAAATACATCACAGAAGACTCCATGAAAATCAACACCAATGCCAAATTCCTAAAGAATGATACATAAAACAATCTGACTGCTTACCTTTACATTCAAAGTCATTTTTAATTTCTTCTCTTATGTCAACAATATCACTTGCAGCCTAATTTAAAAAAAAAAAAAAAGCACATCAACAATTTTAATCCCCCATATGATTTATGTTAAAGTTACCATAGGTTCATACAACCTAAAAATGATGTCTGAAAGCATCTGAGACTTTTGTTCATTGGCTGTGAGGTTTTCTTCAGTGTGTAAAATATTTCTCTAAAATGTTTACTAATTTTATTTTTGAAGACTGAAAAAATACTCACATCACTCATTTTCTGCAAGTCTTCTGTGAATTCAACTCTGGATTCAAAATTTTTCATCACTTTTTTTAAGTCATCTATTGTTTTTCTTATATCTGAAATAACAACCAGAACTATTATGTAAAATAGGGTACACATAATATCTCAGGTAACATTTTATCTGTACTCCTATCATACTACAAATATGATTTAATAATGATGGTTTTGAAAAGCTTCACCTCATTTTTATTTTCATTTTAAATGGACTGCTTTGAAATTCAGTCACACCATGTGTTTTTGTGATATATAGTGCATTCATTCCTCTATTACTAATAAAATGTCTACTAAAATTCTTCTCTATATTATAGAACACAGATGTTGCACGGTGCTACCAAATTCTGACAGAACAACCACCTCGTTGGACTATCACACATAATGTAGTATTTCACAATATTATGCAAAGATAATTTTTATCCAATTAGATAATGAATGGATAGGAAGAGTTAAAGTAAGTTACTTTGTTTCTGTAGAGAAAAAAAATCCTGAATTATATTACTGACCATACAAAGCTTATTTTCCAAGCTTAAATTTTAATAACTGCCAACAAATACTCTATACCCCCTTAACTCCTCTTAAATATTGCCCTCCACTAAACTATTTGAAAAGAAAAAAAAAAAAAA